TTTCATCACTAATAGACAAACCATTCATTCTAAAAGGGATCTAAATTTCCAAATGGTAATAATGACGTTTTTCTCTAGGAAATTTAATGCCTTCTTCAATTTCATAAACACTACTTCCATCGCCACTTGAGTCTTTATAGTAATCACCACTGCTTTCTTCTATGGACCAAACAATACAAGAGATGATTTTTTTACAAGTTAATACACCATATGATACTCTATACTAAAACTCATGATAATCCATGAAGCCAAACTCTAACACAGCAGAAAAAATGAAAGAACAATGAAATGATAGCAACAAAAACCATGTGACCCAGAACGGCTAATATATGCCAATCTAATAGCTTAGAGCAAAAGGGAAATTATTTTTTAAATGAATTCCACTTTAGTCATCACAGTTAGAGATACTCTACCAAACAGTGAGCAAAACAAAAAACGAGTTTTTGGTTTTTAATCCAATAGAGAAATGCAATTTGAGCATATTCCTACTAGCAGCTTTTGATTGAAAAAGGAAAAAGAGATTGAAATTCTTGTAGATGCAGAAGCAATGCAATCAGAGAGCAGATGGATACACTACAGTGGTTCAGACAACAATAAATACTTTCTTGTAATCACTAGAATTCAGAAAAGAGTTGAAACCTGAGTCCCAAGAATGGGAGTCAAACAAACAATACTGAAATCAGAAACCTTTTCCCTAAGGGAGCTTAGGAATTAAGATATTGTAAATCACTAAATCTTTTGCTCACAATTACAAACAAATGGCACAAATTTTCACATGGAACGCTTACCAAATGCTCAAAATTTTACAAGTGCACAACTAACGGCGGAAAAAGAAAAAGGTGCAAGATTAAAGACCATCTAATCACTTGAAAAGGACAGGGATGGGAAAGTAACAAATTATAAAAATTAAGAAATGCACAAATCAGTAACAAAGAAGGTGATTAAGTTCAGCATAACAAAAGAACAGAAAAATGAAACAGCACCACATGTAAGATATCCAAAAGTGTACTCATTGAACGTAACAAACATTATGAAGAGAAATCAACAAGTATACAAATTATATAATAAAAATTTTAAAATTTAAACTGAATCCAACAGAAAAGAAGGAAGTAACAAAAGTAGACTTGAAAGATTACAAGTTACAACTACAATCAGTAACACATTTTTTAGAACACCTACAAATGAAGGTGGAATTTTTCTACCTGGACTTATCATCTGATTGCAGAGATTTAACATAAAACTGGATCCCCAACAAATATGGAACATAGTATTGGACAAACAGTCTCTCCCATCAAGCACCAAAGGCACTCCTGCTCCATATGCACTCCATTCCTCGAAAGATGACCATAGATTACCTAATGTGAAGTATGGCTGAAACTCTACACCACAAGTCCTCCAGCCCCTCACTGTCATCTGCAGCCATGCAATCACAGCTTATATAAATATTCAAGTTACATAGAGAGCCACATATAGAAATCAAAATTATAAGTCTTATGCTTTCTGTATATTACATGCAATTAAAGAAGGAACAAAAAATATCTAACAGCTGAAAATTGTGTTGCAATTTAGCCTACACTTAGCTGATAGAAGTGCTTCCTTATCTTCATTCTCAAACCAAAAAGTAAAAAAATCAAACAAAATTCCGGCATTCTAACTCCTATGCTTTCTTTTACTTGTATACTTTCTAATAATTAGAAACACAGTTCAACTAAGCTTACCTAGTCTTACCAACCCATGCATTGTTCACTAAATTCACTACACCCAAATTTCTTTGCCATTTCCTACACTTTCTCGGGAACCAAACACAAACTTCAAGATGGAAAAAAAAGAAAAAATCAACCTCAAAGAAATACTGAGCTGGGATCAATGACGTGCTTGATTCCAGAAATCTCCGAAGACCACTCTAAGAAACAATAGACTCCTTAGAGTCTTAAACGACACTTAAAGGAGAAGGTTCCTTGAAGATCTTCCTATTTTCAAGGACTTATAAAATCTGTGAGGGTATCAGGTTCAAGATTTTCTATTCTGGTTGAAGAAAGCTGAAGAAAGGAGTAGGATTTCAAGAATACTGAATTGTATTCCACTATGTTGTTTCTGTACAAGGCATCTGTATATACATCTACACAGGTGTAAATCCAGATCCTAATATATGCCTAAACTTATGTACAGGAGTGTTGCTTTTAAATGTTGCTAAATCTTTTACCTTTATGATCAATAGTTTCCGTGTTCTGATATCCTTGACAGTTGCTCAATCTCTCTATTCTGTGATCAATAGTTTCCTTCTTCCAATATCTTGTTTCCTTGGTTCCCGGCTTGGTTCATGGATTGACTTTGTTTGCTCTGATGTATCCTTCATACTGGTAAATCCTATATATCAGCAATGGTCAGCACCCAGCACCGAACACCGAACACCAGCAACCTTTGACATTCAAATTTCAAACCAGAATTTCTACATCATGATTGAAGTCAACCATTATCTCTATCTTGCACAGATGGAAATTCTAATAATTTGTAAGTGCCTTTCTTTTTCAAAACAAGTAACCTGTTATATCAAGCAGGAATATATAAGACCACACCATTGCTTCCATTTCTTTGACAATCTAATAACAATCCCCCTCCTTTGCCATCATCCTTTTACCATTTCTTCTCTCCATGATATCCACCTCAAATGGATGCCTACTTTTTCCTCTACTCTCTTTTCATTACCATCTTCATCATTTTGATTTGTACCCCCTAGCTTACTCTAACGATGATGATGATCAGCAGTATCTGACATGCAACAGCACCTACAACTGTGAAATCTTAAAAGACATAGGCTACCCTTTTTGGGGCAATGGCCGGTCCCAATTCTGTGGCTACCAAGGGTTTGAACTCCTCTGTGAAGAAAGGCAGTACTCCACAATGGATGTTGACGGACAGAAGTTTCTAGTACTGGATATAAGTCGTTCAGCTGCTGCAACAATGACCATAGCTCCTACAGGGATATGGGGACAAGATGCTTGTCCTAAGAAATTCATCGACATCTCCTTGAGCCAAAGCCTTTTCACATTAGCTCCATCTGCTCAGAACCTCAGCTTCTTCTACGGCTGCCCTCCACAGACAGATCACATACCTGTTAGGAACAAATTTAACTACACCATCAATGGCAGTTCGCAGGATGCTTATTTTGTAGACAAATCGCTGTTGAGGATTAATCCTCCCAACCTCACAAAGTGCAACATCAGCATCTCTCTTCCTGTGAATCAGATGGCTGTTGAAGCACTGTTGATTGGAAATGAGGGTGTGGGTATTGCTCTGAATGAAGGGTTTGATGTACCGTATACCTCAGTTATCATGACCTGTTCTGCCTGCCAGAATTCAGGTGGGAGATGTGGATCAAACATTACATCGCTTGAGTTCTTATGCCTCTGCCCTGACCAACCTTACCCTCGAATGTGTCTCAAACCTGGTACGCATGTTTATTCTTTTCACATGAACAAGATGTTTCTCCTCATTGTTTTCCTCTATGTGATTCTTGATCTTAAACATCCTAAAATTAAGTCTGTTTTAACTTAGGAAATTCAAAATTTGGACATTTAAAACTCAACTTACCTTCATAATCTTAGGCTTTGACTAGTTAGGTGGGTTTTAATTCTAGTTCAAGTTATTAACTGGTGAATATTTTTTCTTGAACTAGATGGACAGACAGACTTAATTCGAGTTCGAGTTTTGGTTGTATCATAGGTTTGTAAAACAGAATTTGAGGCAATATTAGAATTCTATTGCAATTCATAGACTTTGAATGGTAATCTCTGATTCTGCAGATGCTATTTCTTGGCAGTTTCATCCTTCATAGTCATAAAGGTTGGTCAAACTTCTAAATCAAATTATTATCTTTCTTCCTCTGACAAGAAAGATAATTGTACATTGAAAATTCTACGAAGCTCGCTATCTTTCTTAATTTCTTGGTCAAGTTTTAATATTCTAGGTAGCTTTTAAGTTTTCACATTATAATAGTGCTATTATTATCAGAGGAAAAGGAGGGATGACATTGACCAAGACCTTCCTTTGGGCTTTATGTAAATATCTCTTTAACTTGAAACAAATAAACCCATCTCATCATCTCCTACCAAATTCCTTCTAGTTTTCCTCCATAACTCCCACAAATGGAAATGCTTCCTCGACCCATTTTCTCATCCACTTTTGTGCGCATCATCACCATCTTCTCCATCTTGCTCCTTCTCCCACCATCATACAGCGTTCTCTTGGATGAGTTCATAGAGTGTAACCGTTCTGCTTCCTTCGAGTGCGGCCGCCAGGGAACCTTTTACTATCCTTTTTGGAACGAAAATACTCCGGAGCCGGAGTATTGTCATCCTCTTGGATTCCACTTGAAAGACTGCGAAAAAGATGTTCCCACCATAGACTTCGGCCCAGATGGTTTATTCCTCCTGCAGGACGCAAACCCATCAGATTACACATTGATGATTGCTCCAATGAATCCAGAGACATATGTTTGTCCCGAGGCACCACAATACAGAACTCTGCCGCCCATTTTCTTGAAATTCTCCGAAACCAATACAAACCTCACTCTGTTCTATAACTGTACTGCACCACCCCCACCTAGTTGGGTACTGCTTGGAAATAAGATTGAGGTTTGCGGACCAATGACAGCAACAGACTCTTCTTTACGCATCATTGGGAGGAACTTGAGAAGGATGATGACTACAAGTGCAGTACACTACTAAATTTCCATCATTCAACAACATGGAAGCACGTCGGTGAAAGTGCTACCCATGTTGCTGAAAGTACTTTAGCAACATGAAGCATGTTGCTAAAGCCTTTCTTGGTGAAGCCATGCTCAGTAATGTATCAGCAACAAGGTCCATGTTGCTGATACCTGGCACCCTCTTCACTGATGTACCTCTTGTTGCTGAAAATGGAGATTTACCGACATGGTTCATGTTGCTAAAAAATTCACCGGACCGGCCACCGGAATTTTTCACCATTTTTAGCAACATACTTTTTGTTGTTGAAACTGGAATATCACCAACATAGTTCATGTCGGTAAAAATGGTTACTGGAATTCTCCCCCATCCATGTACTCTCTTTAGCAACATGAGCCACGTCGGTGAAAGTATACTTTCACCGACGTGGCTCATGTCGGTAAAAATAGTTACCGAATTCTCTCCCCATCCCATGCAGTCTTTCCAGCAACATGAGCCACGTTGGTGAAAGTATACTTTCACCGACATGACTCATGTCGGTAAATATCATTTGCAGAAAGCGGGAAATTGAATTTTCATTTGCAGAAAGTGGGAAATTGAATTTTCATACATTTTCAGCAACATGAGACATGTTGCTAATAGTTTCATGAATAGTAAGCCCCTTACTTTCAGCAACAAGACTCTTCTTGCTGATAATTCAGGGAATAGTTACTACATTTCTTTTAGCAACATGTTTCTTGTTGCTAATTGTGTGGGAAAAACCCCACTCATCCCAATTAGCAAGATGTTTCACGTCGGTGATACATTCAAATGTCAATTTTAAGAATTATTTCATTGACAAATGGTACAGTCCCTTTTTTTTTTAATTATCAATATTCTCTAATAATTAATATTATGAATTCATATTTCTTAATTGTATTAATAATTACAAATAATATAAATAAATTATTTTTATATTATCATTAAAAAATTTAACAATTATTTATTAT